TTGCCATTCTGACACCAACAAGTAGACGTAAAGCCAGCAGTCCACAAATAATTTTTAAAAAAATCTGCAACTCAGTTAATAATTAATCAATTCTATTTTTTCTTCGACTATTTAGGAGCACCTAAAAAGCACCTAATTCTGATACACAGAAAAATTTTGAAAAAATATTTTATTTACAATCATACATGTAATGTTGACTTTACTGACTTTTAAAAAGTTCGAAAATGTCACTTTTTTGACTTTTACTTTCGGCCCACGGGTCGAAAGTTTACTTTCGACCCGTGGGCCGAAAGTAAATGAAATTTTTAAAATTTATTGTATTTTTTAACTTTTACTTTCGGCCCACGGGTCGAAAGTAAACTTTCGACCTGTGGGCCGAAAGTAAATGAAATTGTTAATTATTGTATTTTTTAGTTTTAATTTAAATGAAAATTTCAAAATTCGAATGATTGTAAATAAAATAGTATACATACCTCGGTGAAAAGTTTCATTACTGTCTCGAGATTTCGGTTAGACGTCGGCTGCGCCTCGGTCTAACTTAAATCTCTCGACAGTAATGAAACACTTTCCACCTCGGTATGTAATATACAATTTATTTTTAACCATATATGAAATGTTGTCATTACTGACTTTTCAAAAATTTGGAAATGTCACATTTTTGTCTTTTCATTTTCCTGCTCCATTACCTGTCCCAGGACGGGAAATGAGGACGGGAAATTTTTTCCGTCCTCATTTCCCGTCCACAGACGGAAAATGGAGCAGGGAAGTATTTTCCGTCCTCATTTCCTGTCCTCATTTTCCGACCTTATTTGGTTCTCACGAATTTTTTTATTCAAGAAATTATGGTTAAAAATAAAAATATACTATTTACTATAGGGGACTGCTCAGCTTTCATAAACCTAACAGTACCTTAGTTTTTTTTGATTTTCTCAAAAACTAAAGGAGCACCTAATTTTTAATTAGAGGCCCTAATTAGCACCTAAAAAGCACCCAATTATTATATAGTTCCCGTCCACCTTGGGACTGCTAGGTTTATAGACCTCAAATAAATACTTTATTAGGTATTTTATGCACACCGGACACTAACTTTTAAATTATATTTATATTCTACGAACACTTTGAAGTTGATGCATTACATATTCATGGCGCCGAATACATTGAACCTATCTTTGGGATGAGACGAGCCAGGTTGCTGGGTAGAATATTCGGATTTAGAAATAGGTATACTTTACGGAAGGGGCACGATTTTGGGTAGAATATATTTGGAAATTTTAGAAACACAAAAACCAGTTTGAAAAGTTAAAATAATTAAAGTGGAAAATAATGGTTTTTGAATTGTACGTACTGATAAGAACAACTTGCAAATTAGGTAGTGTAGGAAACACAAGGTGAAATTTTTGTAATTATGTTGGTTGTAATTGAAAAGGGGTCAATTTGGAGTTTTTGATGATATGCAGGTAATTTTTCTTCTAATTAAAAAAAAATTTGATCGAAAGTAGCTTGAGATGAGTGATTACATCACAACACTCAAGTACAATAATCTTTGGGCTTTATTTTGGTTATTTTATGAAATACCTACATAATAAAATTCAAATTCTGGATCAGTGTGCTTGTGTACAAAAACATAAGTATTATCCATATCTAAAAATTGTCGGATAAATTTCAAGAGAAAGAATAGATTTTTTTTGTAAATGCTAACAATTTCAAATTTTGAATTTTTAAATCGCACAAACCCCCAAAGAACATCATAAGGGCGCCCCTATAGCTTGATGTTCTTCAGCTGAGAAAAAATAAGCGACTCTACCTGACCCAAATGTGTGGGTGGAGGGCTTTCATCTGTACCTAAACGAATTCAAGGATAGCAAAGAGCCATAGATTTTGTTCGAAATGAAAAAGTATGAAATTGATTTTTTGATTGTTTTGCACATCAATTTTTTTTGCTATCTATAAGTAATAATATCAATTTTAAACCAAGATAAGATAAAAAAAAATATATCACTCCAAGTATTATTATACCTCTATTATGTATATTAAGAATCATGAATACGTTGACATGAAAATATGACCATATACCCGTAAATGGTATTATGTACCTAGTACTAGTAGTAGGTAGGTACCCAAAATGGCAATAAATTATTGATTTTCATAATCGCAGCAAATCTGCAAGCAATAAAATATAAAATGAAGTATTTAGAGCAATTACTTAATAAGGGTGTAAACTGGTAGGTACCACCTAATAATAATAGGTAGGTAGTTAATATAATAATTTGGTTTTATAATTTCCAATACAAGTAACTAGTTATACGATATTTGACTAAAATCAAAACATGATTCCTTTGCCTATGCACTAATAATGGTACAACAGTTAGGTACCACCAGACTTGTAAACAACACAAGACGAACTTAACCTCACCTTACTAGGTACCACCGATTTAATCCGCAAACAAATTAATCCAAAAGCTCTTATAAAGTCACTTAACACCGAAATTTCGCACGAAACTGTCAAAATTGTTTCATGAAACGCGAACTACGAAAAATTATCAGATGGCTTAAAATCACGGTAGAGAGACGGACAAGACGGAGCCAAGTACGAGTCACACAGACAGGCTGTTGTTTAATGAATGAACATGAACCACATGGTAGTAGGGGCCTGCGTTCGAATCTGATTGGCCGCAGCGCGTCACATTTTAGTACACACAATAATTAAAACTTGAACTAAGTATATTTCTTGATTACTACAATTTACAAAGATTTATTTATAAGCAGAAATGGGCTAAAATGTTTGGAAAACAAATGGTTACTTCAAGAGAATAGCAACTATCAAATTATCCTAACATTACTACATAGTATTTATAGAACAGGGGAAGGGGACGATTAGATTTATGAATGAATTGCTTTCATATAATTTAAGCTTGAGTTTTCTATAAACAATTTTCGATATGTTTACGAATATTTTGTTTGTTGTTGGTTTAGGTGGAATTTTAAATTAGATTTCGCTAAAAATACCTACTTTTTTTTAGAAAAATTAACAAAATGTGTGTACAAAATAGTTTTCAATTGCCACAATTAGGTATTTGATAAGTAGTTTTATTTTAAATACTAAAAACCTTTCAAGAAAAAAATTGGTATCTACTCACTAGTATTAAGTACTTACTCAAAGTTAAAACAAAAATGCAATCTCAGGATTACGACCGTAGAAATGACTATCAATAATTGGAGACTTCTGTATTGGAAGTATTGTATTTTTAATACCCATTATTGGAAGTATGATCTAAGGTATCTATAAACAAACTTTCAGTACATTTCAATTGAGACTTTCTGTATTTCATTGTATTGGATGTACCTACTACCAAAGACCTACTACCTACCAATGAATATTATATTAGGTTATTTGTTCCGACTTAGTTCAGAATCAGTTCTGAATTGAACTGCGCATGCGCATTTGTTTATACATGTTCGATATGAACAAACCTATTATGGATGGCATATTTGGAAATTCTGAAAGTATGACGTGGCATTTTCAATATTAAGCTAGACTTCTATTTTAGATTCTCTATTGGATCTACCAATGGAGAATTATATTTATAGATGCGCCTACTTGGAAATTTTCAAAGTGAAGTGGAATCCTGGCTTTGTCAATTATCCATTAGAACTGTGACGTCATCAATTGACATCCTCTGTATCTAAACAAACTTTCAGTACATTTCAATTATTGAGACTTTTGTCTTACATCGTATTGGATGTACCCTGGATATGTACCAATGGATAATTACATTATGGATGCCATACTTGGGAATAGTGAAAGTTTGGCGTGGCATCCTGACTCAATTGTCCACTAGAAGTGTGACGTGATCAATTATTGACATATTCTGTATCTAAACAAACGTTCAGTACATTTTAATTGAAACCTCTGTCTTACATAGCATTGGATGTACCAATAAATAACTACATTATGGATTATGGATGGCATACTTGGAAATTTTGAAAGTGTGACGTGGCATGCTGACTTTGTCAATGGTCCATTGGAAATATGACGTCACAAATGGACATCCTCTGTATCTAAACAAACTTTCAGTATATTTTAATTGAGACTTTTGTCTTACATCATAGTGGATGTACCCGTGGTACATTCACTATGGAAATTTTGGAAGTGTGACGTGGCATCCTGACTTTGTCAATTGTCCATTAGAAATATGATATCATTACTGGACATCGTCTGTATCTGAACAAACTTTCAGTATATTTCAATTGATGAGACTTCTATCTTACATTGTATTGGAAATACCTACTGATGGATAATTAGATGATAATTACATTATGAATGGCATACTTGGAAATTGTGGAAGTGTGACGTGGCATCCTTACTTTGTAAATTGTCCATTAGAAGTGTGACGTCATCATATGTCATCTTCTGTATTTAAACAAAGTTTTAGAAAATTTCAACTGAGACTTTTTTGTCTTACATTGTATTGAAAGTACCAATGAATAACTATATATTGAATGGCCTACTTTCGGGAATTTTGAAAAGTGTCACGTGGTCACGTGGTATCCTGACTTTGTCAATTGTTCACTGAAAGTGTGATGTCATCAATCGACATCCTCTGTATCTAAACAAACGTCCAGTATATTTTAATTGAAACTTCTGTCTTGCATTGTTTTGGATGTATCAATGGATAATTATATTATGGATGGCATACTTGGATGAAATTTCAAAATCAAGAATATTTCATGAAGCATGTGCGTCCCCATCTAACTCTATGAAACCGCCTGTTATAGAAAAACTTGACTTTTAAACTATACATTTCAGTATTACTCAGTGCTTAGTACTTGTAATGAATGCAAAACAAAGATTCAATGTTGGAAAGCAATATACACACAAGATTCTGTTCTCCATTACCTTCTCATAATCATGAATTAGAGGATTCTACCCCATTGAACAATGGTTCATTTCATAACTGAGTTTCTATCGAGAGGAAGTTACCTAAATAAAAATATCTATATTGCTTCCACTGTCTACATGTTTTATTTATTCTTGAAATTAGAATTTCCATTATTTAAATTTTCACTTAAATGCCATCATGCTACAGGCTATTTTTAATATTATTTTTACATTCACAGTCTCTATACTAATCTATGCGAAATATCGTGTGCATTCTCTTTAGCATTAGCAATCCGAGAACCAAATTGAAGAGCCCTCTTTTTCAAAACAGCCGCTCCTCTCAAACCCAAGTGACTAGCCAAAGATCGCAGTAAAATTTTCTCGCCCACGCCTTGTGGTAAGGTTTCTGACGGATATGTCCTAAAATATCATTTTCAAGCTGCACAGTTTCTATGAAATGAACTCACTTTTCCCAGCATTCCAAGCCTCTAACAAACTCAACAACATTTTCGTCCAAGTATGGTGTCCTCAGTTGTCTTCCGTGATCTGAGACTACCCTGTCATCTCTTCCTAAATTTCTGTACGGAAGGTTCATCCAATCTTCATCGAGTATCTCTTGAAGACCCTAATATTGAAAAACAAATTATGACATACAGTAAAGGAATTGTATACGGGTTTTCAAGTTGCTAGCATCTAGAACTTTTTCATGTTTCCACAATAAACCCATGAGGGTTGATTAATCTTGCAACACCACATTGAGAAAAAGCACATAAATTTAGATTCCACAAGAAGCCCTCTTGACTAAGTATTGCCTAAGCCCCTAAAAGGCGTAAAAAACTGGTTGAATTTTCATATGCTCCAATTTATTTATTGTGGAGAATCTGGTAGGAACAATACACTATCGAACACCGCAATAATGAACTTACTGTTCTTGTTTTTCTTTGGAAATAACCACCTCAAAACCAAGATAAAACAGTATAGAAGGAAATATGAACAAGAACTCCTAGCCTCTTCTGAGTAGCAGTTTTATTCCTACATAAACAGAACTGTTGGTTCAAGACTTATACATTTCTTGCTTGCACCCTTAATGATGAGAAAGAACTGGCCAATTTTTTGTAGAATAGTTTCAGAGTGTTTTTACGAGAGAAAATCTTAGCTATACGCCCAACTTGGATCCTGATACATTCTGTGCTAATTCACTTGAAATTGTAACTTTCACACCCGAGAAATTGGAGAGGGCACTCAAATCACTGAAACCAGAAATCCCTACCACTTTCCTGAACAAGTGCGCTGCAGTTCTGTCACATTCCCTCTCAGCTATGAAGACCAATCTTCCTAGGTAGGGGAAACTACCAAGGGAATGAAAGAATGCGATTGTAGTGCCTATTTCCAAGAAAGGCAACAAACACCTGCCTGAAAACTATAGGCTCATTGACTCAACAAGCACCCTTTGCAAATGCATGAAGAAAGTCATGGTATCTGAGATGACTGAATTTTTGGTTGGAAATGGAATAATCCCACCTTCCCAACATGGATTCCTTCCTGGAAGGTCTACTTTCACGAATCTGCTTACCAAGGTTTATGACTAGACAAGGGCAGATAACTCTGATCAGTCTGTTGATGTTTACTTGGATTTTGACAAAATACAATTTGGCCAGCTTTTTCATAAACTGTGTATAGGAGGTATTCTACTGAACCTAATCCAAGATTTTCTGGAGGATTGACAGTTATGTATCAGGATAGGGTCCGGGTCCATGAAGTCAAATTCCTGTGAAGTTTTCGGTGGTTGTCCCCAAGGCTCAGTCCTTGGCCCTCTACTCTTCCTTGTACATATTAGTGACCAGCCAAATAGATTGAGGAGTCAGATGTCATCATTTGCGGATGATATATGATATATTATAGTAGTCCTGTATAGCAGAATGGAAGCCTCCAGGAGGATATAGATGCTACATAGGCTACAACCACCTGGCAAATACCACTGAATAACTAAGTGTTCAATTCTCCACCTGACCAAAAACAACCCCAGAAAATGCAATACTTCACCCAGGTAGTCTCTGTTGCTCAACAAAATGATATGGGAATTGTTGTCATTGAATGCGTGAAGTCGGAAAACCATATCAATGGTAGCATATGGTCAAACTCCATCATGCACCTGATTTCCATGGCTTAAAGGTCCCATAACCCAAATGTTTGTAAAGCAACCCTTACATGAGACCCAGGTGGGAGTATGCCCAAAGCATATGGACGCCTTATTATGTAATAGTTATTTACCTAACAAATGCGGAAAGTGATACTTTACCGCACGCAACGGCAGTTGACCGAACGACGCGAAGCGGAGTTCGGTCAAGCCGTTAAGGGCGGTAAAGGCACTTTCCGCATGCGTTAGGTACAAAATTTTACCTATGAGCATCTACATCTCCAAAAAAAGACATTGATAAAATTAATTAATGAATCAGATTTATTAATGAAATAAGATTAGATTTAGAAATGATCAAAAATCCATTTTCTGAAAAAGAAAGGAATTTTGAAAATTAATATCAAATTCTACTTTACCGCACACTATGCGGTAAAGTGCACTTTACCGCACACTTTGTAGCCCACTTTACAGCATAGTATGCGGTAAAGTGCTACTTTCCATTTTCAAATACGTCTGGTAAAGTGCACTTTACCGCACGCTCGTAGGTAAAGAATATTGAAGCACTTGATAAAGTCCAACGCAGAGCAACAAAAATTTCTCCAGCTCTTTGTGACCTTCCATACCAACAAAGGCTGCAGAGGTTGAACCTCCCTACATTTTATGACAGACGAATGCGTGCGAATCTAGTGGAGACATTCAAAATAAATAGTGGACACTACAAGTGTAAGTTATGTGTGTTTGAGTTCAGTGACAGCCAGAATCTAACAAGAAACTCTGTGAGGAGAGAGCGTTTGTGGTTTGATCGAGTGTGGCGCCAATTCACATGGATACATTCTGTTATTGAAAAGATTTCTGCTGCACAGTTCATTTGAAACTGTTCTATACTCATCTATTAATGGCTTTAGATGCAAAATTGCAACAGAAAGCAAACGTGAAGAAGAAACTTGAGCAATTAGGACTCGAATAGACAAAATGTATTTACTTATTGGACGCTCTTTCTTGTTGTTAAGTGTTAATACACAATAAACTGGTTTCCTGGAATAATACAATCCAATGTTAAAATTATTCCTAGGTTCCGGAACAGAGTACCTACATGTACTAAAGTAAAAAAGCAAAAAGCCGCTACAATATAGTGGACTTATTTGGTAGCTGAAGATGCTAAAACAAGCAACTACTGAAATATTTCCAAATGTAAATTCACCACATAAACAAGGTGATTATTAAGTTATGTGGAGGGCGTCATTGGATGTCAGTCTACTACATTAGCTCAGTTTAGTGTTAGACAGCTTAAGCAAAACTGATCAAATGTAATCCTACACAATTACACCAGATATTGCGGCCATATTGTAGAAAATCCCGTAGATCTAGGTAGGTACCTACTTTAAATGTACAGGGTGCTGCAATTTGGATTGTTTCAACAGGAAAAACATACTTCCAGACCAGATAGAGGAAAATTGACTTAGGCGTCATGGGATCGATTTTTGAAAAACGTCAATTGTCAAAAACCGTATCACGATATCTTCAATGGTACCATTGATACAGGGCGATTTCCGATTTTTCCCTATTATGAAAAATGGCTATAAGTTTTTTATTTATCAATTTTTTTTTATTTCTGTGAAAATATTATGGAGACACTTTTTTGAGCACAATCCAGTGGCGGACTCAGTTTTTTTCTATATCGTTCCGATTTCGAGATATCGACCAAATTTCGATATTTTCAAATGAAACATCCTATATATTATTAACTCATTGGATAGCTCTGTTTTTGCTGATTTCAATGATATAAAGTTCGATAGGTTCATCACTAACAGTTTTCGAGAAAAAAAATTATATCTGTTTTTGTCGGAAGGCCCAATGTGTCAGAAAAGGATTTTATATGTGTAAGGAAAATGAGGAAAGTCTCTTTCTAACACATCGTTTCTTATGACTGAAACAGATATAATTTTTTTTCTCGAAAACTGTTAGAGATAAACCTATCGAAGTTTATATCATTGAAATCAGCAAAAACAGAGCTATCCAATGAGCTATTAATATATAGGGTGTTTCATTTGAAAATATCGGAATTTGGTCGATATCTCCAAATCGGAACGATATAGAAAAAAACTGAGTCCGCCACTTGATTGTGCTCAAAAAAGTGTCTACATAATGTTTTTACAGAAATAAAAAAAATTGATAAATAAAAAACTTATAGCCATTTTTCATAATAGGGGGAAATCGAAAATCGCCCTATATTAATGGTACCATTGAAGATATCGCGATACGGTTTTTGACATTTGGCGTTTCTCGAAAATCAATCCCATGACATCTAAGTCAATTTTCCTCTATCTGGTCTGGAAGTGTGTTTTTCCTGTTAAAACACTCCAAATTGCAGCACCCTGTACATTATTAGCTGCTCTTACTTTCCATGAATACCTTCTGAACGACGTCCTATGTCTAGTATATCCTCCGAACAATTCATCAGCTCCCATACCGACAACTAAAATCTAAAAACAATATTTATAAATACCTATTATCTTTAGCTTACTCTGCAAGGAGAGGTGTAGTCAGCTATTTTTCCTCTACTAGCAAACCATAAAGCGCAACCAAGACTGTCATCTAGAATAGTATTTAATGGATAAATTAAGTCGGCAATATGTCTACTTCTTTCCAAATCTAGCTCCTCTTCTGGTACATTTACTTCAATAAAATTCCATTTTCTTTCTGGATAGCAACTTCTCAATTCCTCAAGTGTCTGCAATCCTAAAATTTGTTTACTAATATATATCTACTTTTGTCATCAATGTTAACGTTATTACTTGCCAGTAATTCTATCAGGAGATTGATAGTTTTTAGCTTCATCAAATGAGACATTAAGCAAATCGATAGGTCGATTTTTATCTACAAATTTGTCTGTAAGGGCTGCAAGGATGGCACAATCAACGCCACCTAAAATTTAAATTGATAGAAAACAATTAATAATGACTTGAACATTTACCTGAAAATAAAATTCCTGTTGTTGCATGTTGACAATCTAGCCTAGTTGGTAAACAATCATTGCAATATTTGGGCTGTGTACATATCCTTGTTTTAACAGCATTTTCTAGCAATTTCTTCAAAGCTATCACATTATGCATCCAAGTATCACAGTTCAGCAGTAAATTGAAAATCTCTTCATTGTCTTTGCTTTTAATATTTTTAAGTAGAGCAAGATTATCATTTTCAATAAAATTATGTACTGTATCTTCACTTGCTGAGATATGTTTGGCAATGGATATGTCAGTACTTAGGAATGTTTCCAGTATTTTTAATTTACTATAAAAGTTCTTATTTTTGTGCTGCCAAAAATCTACTTGGAATTTTTCATTAATAATATCATAGCAAAATATACCAACTGAAGGCATTTCAATAAAATCAAATCCTGTGTTACGTTTAGCTACACTTGTTAAAATAAAATCGCCATTAATGTTACTTTTGCCTATAAGCAAGCTTCTCCTTCCAAATATATCCCTACCAAAGTACAGTTTATTGCTTAATTTATCAAAAAATATAAATGCATAAGGTCCCTGAATTTTATTTAAGGATTTTGAAGACAGTAGTTGTTCTTTAAGGAAGTCATGAAACAACTTTGTATCTCCCAGGTTTTTTTGTTCGTCCTCATTTAACCCAGCAAAAATGTCTCCATTAAAGCAAAATATCGACTGGGAATCTTCTAAAGGTTGTTCTGTTGGAGAAGTCCCTTGAAGCCAGAGGACGCTGCCAGCGAAAGCAAGGCTGGTTGTTTGTGTGAATACCGTTTTGAAGTTGAAGCTATTTGGGCCTCTGTTTTTTAGGTTTTCTTCGAATGATAACTAAAAGAATAGACAATATTGGAAAATCTGAAAATATTATGGAGAAGGAAGAAAAACTGATAAAGATATAGAATAGAAAATATTGGAAAATCTGAAAATATTGAGAAGGAAGAAAAACTGATAAAGGTATAGGCAAAACATTTAAGTTGAATGCTTGGGGAAGTCTGAAAATTAAGAAGCAAAGAATTCATTGATCAGTGTAGTAATTCATTATTGGGCTTTCCTTGGAGTGACATAGATTAGCTATATAATTTTTGCTAGCCACCTGAGACTGAGATACTGATTACATATTTGGAATCATGGATATAATAATTACATATAATAAATTCCTTTTAGAGCTAAGGTACTATAATTATACTTGAAGCAAAATATGCAATACATTTGATACTTTTATAAAGAGAGTGCTCATGAGAAACTAATCAATACAATTTAAAAAAGTACTTGTGCTGTAAAGCGAGCCTCTCAACTCAGTTTACGCAGATATTTTGACAGTCCATAATAACAACGATTAGCGAGCATTATACGCCTTTTTATTTCTTTGCTGACATCATTACTCGGGTTTTTTGAAATGGAACCCTGTCTTGTTCGCATTTATTTGTAGTTCCATATTCCTTCCAGCGTTTTCAAAATTAACAAGGTTTTCTTTTACTTTTCTAATCGTTCTAGAGGTCAGGTCCATGTCGTCTGCGTATGCTTGTGCCTATGATGATTAATTGAAGATGGTGTCTCTATACCTTTTCAACTACAAATTGGGATCAATCAATTTCAATTTGGAACGTAGCAATTTCAAATTGGGATTAATCAACTTTAAATTGGTAACTAACACGTTCAAAATGGGAATAAACAAAGTCAAATTGGAAATAAACAATTTAAATTTGGTACTCATCAACTTCAAATTGGAATTGTTGAATAAATTAAGTACAAAGTTTTGCAAGTCAAACGGCAGTTACTTTTAAACCGTATTTTAAATTAACAAAATGCCTTACATTAAAGTACCTGATGCAGAAAATTCTAAAAAGCAAAAAGCTGTTTTTAATAACAAAGGCGACTGAAGAGGATTGGCTAACACACTGGGTATGAAAAAATCTACAGCTTATCGATGGGTAGGTACCCAAGAAGTTGTGGGGGACAAAGAAAAGCAAACATAAGGTATAAATGACTGGATACATAGAGGAAAATGCTGTTATTACGCTGAAATAAAAGAAATTTTTGAACAAAATCTCATTTTGATGGAATGTTTTCATTCGGGCTCAATGGCTGTCGTAAGTTGGAATCTCTTTCTGACGTCTGGTAGCAGAGTGCTATCATAATCGGATATAGTCACCTCTGAAGATGCTAGCCACGCGTGCTAGCGGAACGTCATAATTCAGGAAGAAATTCCAAGTTAGGAAAATCTCATTTCATTACTGTTCAAAGTACCTTTTTCATTAATGTATATTGATTTTCTTCACTAGCAATCTTTCATTTATATTATTACCCAAATCGAATAGGTCTATTCCCAATTTGAATTTGTTTCTTCCCAAATCAAAATTGATTAGTCGCAATTTGAAGTTGATTAGTACCAAATTAAAAATGATTAGTTCCAATTTGATTTTGTTAATTCCCATTTTGATATTGTTAGTTCCCAATTTGAAGTTGCTTAGTCCCAATTTGAAGTTGAAAAGGTATAGTATCAAGTTCCATATCTCGAACCACTTTCTCTATAACTATATTAAACAGGGAGACACTGCAACAACTAAAAAAATGTATATACCTATAATATGTCGGTTTGAAACGTCTTTCTTCGTTGTCCGACACCAAAAAGCCATCCTCTTCTATCGTTGCAATTCTCTGATGAGATATTTCTTTCACTCATGGACTTTTGCATGGTCTTCTGCCATTCCAGTTTTGGTTTTCCTGGTTTTCTTCTTTTTGTTGGTAGCCAATACAGCATTTTTTTGGACCACTTGGTATTTGGCAGTTGTTCTATGTATCTGTACCAGGTAAGTTGTTTCCTTTCAGTTTCCTGAACTATCTTGCCTTCTATTCCCATTTGTTGTTTTATATATGGTCGTTCCTTATTCTCTCTCTTCCTCAGATTCGCATGGATCTTCTAATAGTCTGTCTGTAAATCTTCAAGTCTCGACTCCATATAGAAGGTTGCTCCATAAGATTCCATTAGGCATCCTATTACTTTTTTAGCTTCAACTATTCGCTTTTCTATTTCTTTCACTTCTGTTCCGGTATTGTCAAATGTGATACCTAGATATTGATATTACAGAATTTCCTGACCATGGTCCACTTCCAAGTTTTCGTTTTGGGTGCCTACACATAGATATTTTATTTGATTTATATACTGTCAGGACCCATTCTTGGTACTCTTCTATTAGCTTTCTAATCATATTTTGTATGTTGTCTTTGTCACTGGCCACTATGACCTGATCATCTGCAAATCGAAGAGTAAACAGGCACCTATCATTTATCTCTATACCCATACCATGAATCTTCCAATTTTTTAATGCTACTGCTACTTATATTTTGAAAAGCATAGGAGAAATACAACATCCTTGACGTAGTCCTGTATTCACTATAAATGTGTCTGTGAGTTTTTCACCTATCTTAATTTTTGATTTTGAATAGGTATGAAGTAGTTCTTAAAGGGCCGTTATATAGGAAGTGTGACTGATGTTGGATTGTTCTAATACCTTCCATAGTCTGGATACTGTGACTATATTGTATGTATGCTTTTTGTAGGTGCACAAATGTGAGGTGGGTTTCCAAATGTCTAGCAGATCTCTTTTTTATGACTTGTTTTAGGCAAAATCGAGGGCAAAATATGTTGTCTGTATCTTCCTGCTCTCAAGCCACACTCCTCTTCTCCTTTTTTTTCTTTATAATCTTTCTCAAAGAGATCACGCAGGATTCTACTGTAGTGTGCTTTTATTAGGCATTTATTGATAATGTCATGTGAGAGCTCTAAAGAGCTTCTTAGTTCCCCATTTTAGCATTTCAGAGTATATCCTTTCGGGGCCACTAGCTTCACCTGACTTAAGATTCTTAACAGTCTTTTTTACTGTTTCTTCAGATATCTCAACTTCTCCATTTACCTACACCTACTTCAATATGTATTGGAGAATTAAATATAGGTATATTCCGGTCTTGTAGTGTTCGATCCATTGCTCTGGTTTGATAACCATTAGTTCTGTCCAGGGTTTTTGACATTTGATACAAAGAAGGAGGCACAATTTACATTGAAAATAGGCCCCCGTAAATTTCAACCAAATTCCAATATTTTAAAGGTATCATCATTGCAAGAAAAAATTTTAATTGTAAAGAGGATCGTATGTCTGTGATAGCAGACATAGCTCATCAAAGTACGTAGGTCCTGCTATGCTATGCATAGGTAATATCCGAGGAAATATGCCTACCTAGATTTTCTTGAATATCTCGAAAAATACTAATCTGATTTTGAAGTTTTTGGAGTCCTTTTGTAGGTATCAAACTCCAAAAATGTCAAAATCGGATTAGTATTTTTCGAGATATTCAAGAAAATCTACGTAGGGATATTTCCTTGGATATTTCCCATGCATAACATAGCAGGATCTACATACTTTGATGAGCTATATCTGCTATCACAGACATACGATCCTCTTTACATTTCAAATTTTTTCTTGCAATGGTGATACCTTTAAAATATTGAAATTTAGTTGAAATTTACGGGGGCCTATTTTCAATGTAAATTGTGCCTCCTTAACAAAAACGAAGAAAGTGTTGAGTTGACAGCTGAAAAATTTCCAGGCTTAAAGGTCTTGTTAATTTTTTGTTGTTAACCATTCCAGATATTGTTGCTTCTCCTCTACTAACTAAAAGCTCTATCGCCTCTATCTAGTATTTAGTTAGTACTCAAATGCATATGAATTATATACCTACTCTAAATCCTGTATACAGAAAATAATATGTACTGCTACTGTTTTTTTTTACTTTAAGTAAAATACTTAATAGTCTGAGTGGAATACAATTGAAAAATATTGTACTTTATAATGTAAGTTTAGTTGAAATATTGAAGACTTAATACTTCAAGTACATTCGTTTAGTACTTAGCTCAGCTCTGAGTGGTGGCGAGATTGGGGGCAAGATCTAGCTATAATAGCTGTTCATTTGTCTGACAGAATAATGAAATTAATTGAAGTTTATACCAGAATTACACACATTTGAACACAAGCTTTCAAAATATGAACAAAAATAATATAAAATAAAAATAAAACTTCTTCATAGCTCAAATAATCAATGGCGAGGGGTAAACCACCTTGAAAAATGTGTATATCAGAGTCTCACTTTCAACAGAATCCCACCAAATCCTAATGGAATCCTCACTGTCATAATCTCTATGTCATGTTAATATAAGGTCTCTTGTTCCCTCGTTTTCCGGATGTGAGTGTACTGTTGCTAGATGAAAAATTCCATATTTTTGTAGTAACAGAAACATGGCTATCACCAGACTATCCAGATGGGTTTATCCTCGGGTTTATCAATGTTAATGGTTACCAGCTTCATCGTGCTGACCGTCCATCCTGAGTTTGTGCATATATTTCAGCTTGTATGAAGAGCAGTATAATCGATATTTCACCGATGTTGGATGCATTAAACTTACTCGAGAATTAGCGCAGAGAAAACGGCGATTCTAACATTCACCAAAAACGGCAAACGGAATGAGGGCAGGGATATATGGGGAACTCGATGGGGAATGACCCAAAATAAATGTCAGCATATCATTGCGGAATGAAACCACTATATATCCAGCAAAAGTCTTCGTTGTGGATTGACATTCAATCACCAAATACTATTAAATAAACTATCTAACATGGGAGTTCGAGGAGTTGCTCATAGTCTAATTAGGTCATATTTGTCAAATAGATATCAATATACCATGGTAAATGAAAAAACCAGCTCCACAAAATTGTCCACCATCGGAGTTCCACAAGGTTCGGTCCTGGGGCCCTTACTTTATCTGCTTTATGTGCACAGTTTAAGCAAAGCCAGTTTAAAATGCAACTAAAATGTGTTTTTTTTTAAAAGATAAAAGTCAAAATGACATTATGTTGGCAATACAATGTAAAATTGTCAATGCTTTCAAACTTTTTATGTAGAAAAGGCTTGTGTTGCCAACATAGTTACTAAATTTTTGACTTGGGGAATTATCTTTAAAAAAAAAACAGACTTTACATAACTTTCGCAGATGACACAGTGTTGCTTTTTCAAGGCAAATGTTTGAAAACGATTGAAACTGAAGTAAACAATTGTGTCGAAACTTATTATATGTGGCTACTTAAAAAAAATCTTAAAATAAATGTCAAAAAAACTGTTTATATGATTTTCAGACAAATAAATAAAATGGGCCGAAATATTGAAATTAAACTGAATAAAATCGTTTTAGAAAAGGTGCAAGCTTATAAGTACTTGGGTCTAACAGTGGACAAGGATCTGTCATTCTAATTTCACATTAAAAAACTACAGAAAAAACTTTCCAGTGCTTGTGGTGCAATGAGAAATGTGCAAATTTTCTTCCTAACCCTATCAAACTATCCGTGTATGAATCCCTATTCAAATCACATGTGCAATATATGAGTACCTTATGGGCAGCTGCTTCAAACACAATAATCCAAAAACTACAAAGACTTCAAAACCGTGTTATAAAGCGTCTCTATAACCTTCCAAGACTTTACCATACGAGTGAGTTATACAAAAATTATAAATTCCTAAAAATACAACAGATAATCAAGCTGGAAGAATGTAAACTAATGAAGAAAATTCTAAATAGACAAATAAAATCTAAAATGGTGCTTAAGAAAAACTGCGACCTGCATAGCCATCTAACTAGAAACTGTAACCAAATGTATATTCCAAGATCCAGGACAGATGTAGGATGTAGGGAAGAATAGTATAATTCGTCGTGCTTTGGGTTCCTACAATTCCTTACCAACGAAAATTTCAAAAATATCCAGCCCTGCTTTATTTGCAAAAAAGGTTAAATTATTCTTAATGTCACAAAATGTATAGAACCAATTAATTGGGTACCCAAATTCAATTTGCTTATTGTTTGGTTTTTTTGGTTTTTCTTTATATGGAGAGATCAGGCGCAATTTTATCGTTTGTGGACCTCTTTGGTTTATTTTTTTTTTTTATATAAGGTACCTGACCCAAATAAGGCCATGTACCTAAGAAGGCCAGTGCTCTTTATTGCTTAATATTGAATCCCATTCCCAAAAATTACAATATTATTCAAAAAGAAATCTATAATGCAAATCAAAAATTATCGCAAGGGTTCCTAGCAACTCGTCATACGTCGAAAAATGGCCAATTAAATATTTCATATGTCACGTTATAACTTTGAGGCTGGAACTCAATTAGCTTATATACATGTTTATAAAGTGAATGGAGCGATTGTAATTTTTTAACGGACATTTATGTATTGAGAAAGCTACAGAGTAAGTACAGAATAATATCTTTGCTAGATTTCTAGTTACATACTTTTTTATATCAATTTAACATGTTCCTAATAAGGCCATCATACGAAAAATGTTCAATTGAGCTCACATCACAGTGTTTTTGCAAAAGATTGTGTTATATTATTATCTGAGTGATGTTTTTTGAAATGCTTGGAGTCTAACCAAGCAAGAGATGCTGCGGTTCATATGTCCTAGTTATATGTAGACCTATTTGGATCACTATCCCAGGACTTGGAATTATTGTTTTTTTAGGAATGCAGCAAACATATAAGTTCTATTTTGTGTACTATTTCTCAAATAACAATATTTTTATAAATATTTGTACCTATTTATTTTAAACATTTTTTTGATGGTGGCCTTATTAGGAGCATAGTGTTCCAAATAAGGCCAATGGTAAGCATCTTTGTTTTACGCAAAAACCACGACTTATATAGAAAAATCAATAAATTAGAGTTAATATTCAAGTAATAGAAGCGAAACACTTCACATATAAGCTTGTGATTTTTGTTGGGTTTGGTGGATAACGTTAGGAAGAAATTAAAATTCTTAACCTGGCCTTATTTGGGACAGGTACCTTATACATATATAAGGTGAATACCTCGGTGAATACCTACTTGTATTTTCTTTTTGGAAATTTGTTTAGTCAAATATTTAGTTGGGTATAGCTTATATAATTTGAATGGCTTATTCATGTTTGGGCAAGAATATTATTGTTATTAGTTATTGTACCTACTGAAACCTACAACTGTAAATTAAATTAATTAGTTTAGGACTTGTTACCAGTATGCCAATGTACTGTTTAAAGTGCAGAAATAAAGACTTTTAAAAAAAAAAATACAAAAGTAAGTCAATATCTATTACTTGATGTGCTGTACAAGCCACCATTGGTGAATAACAATCACCTCACTTGTTTAGAACGGATATTATCATCTCTAGCAGTGTAATATGATTATGTAATTTTGATGGGCGACATAAATATAAACCTATTAGTTAGAAATGGAGAAATCAACTATGTAGAGCCATTGCTACAAATGTTCAACCTAAAGCAAGTTGTTGCAGATTCAACAAGAATAAGCAGAAATAGTTGTAGCCTGATCAATGTAATTTGTGTAGACAACAGTCTTAATATTTCAACTTCCGGTACCATAGATATGCTTAACCTTACAGATCACAGACTAGTTTACTCAAAACTGGACATGGAAGCAACAAAACTGCATCAAAATCAATTACATACAGAAGTTTCAAACACTTTAATAAACAACAATTTGGAGAGGATATGCAACTAATAGACTTTGACCACATTTTGCAGCAAAGAAGCCCTCGATACCAAGGTATTCCTTTTCAACCCACAGTTAACTAGAATACTAGACAAGCATGCTCCTGTGAAGACAGTGCAAATTAACCGTAAATATAGGCCTTATATCACTGACACAATCAAAGAAATTCAAACATACTGGACTTATTGCACATAAAAACTACTATTTGGACTTGAAGAACTACCTTGTTTTGCAATTTGGAGTGAGAAACAAGCCTTTGTCATTTGAAATAGAAAAATCGCAAAAAAGCCTAAAAAAGATGTGGTCGAAAATCAATAGCCTGAACATTCACTCTAAAGGTAATAATGACATACCCAGTCACCTTAAAGATGTAAACAGGATCAGTGATGCTTTTGCTAGTATTGGTTAAGTAGCTGCTCCGGTGGATAATGTCACGCTTGGGTATTATCTAAGTAACAAGCTGGCATCTATTCATAATAGTGACGAGTTCTGGTTCAGAGACATTACTGATGAAGATGTGTATCAAACTTTTTCTCGAATCAAATCAAAGAGCATGGGCGTCGATCAGCATGATACTCTTTAGTATAGACCTCGGTATAGAATTTATTGCACCAGTGATCTTTAAAATATTCAATATTTGCTTACAAACTTGTGAAGTGCCGAATCTCTGGTAATGTGCTGTTGTCAAACCCTTACCAAAAAATTCCAAGGTAAAGGATTTCTCAGAGCTAAGGCCAATTTGTCTTCTTCCAATCCTTGCCAAAATGCTAGAGTCAGTGGTATCGGACATGATCCTGGAATACATAGCAGACAAGAATATTCTGCCAACGAATCAATCTGGATTTTGTAAAAATCATAGCACAGCAACAGCACTTACCAAAGTAACAAGAAATATTGCAACAAATATGGATTGTTCAGTGGTCTCCTTTGTGCTCCTGAATTACAGCAAAGCGTTCGATTAGATTACTCATCGAATGTTTATTGCAAAAATGGGCTATTATGGTTTCTCTGATCAAGTACGTCAGTGGTTTTCGATGATACACAACTCCTGGTAGGTTTTGCCCCGGAAGAGGCTTGTGTTGCTCTGAATAGGGTTAATGCTGACCTAAATTCAGTTTATATATGGTCTTAAAACCATGGTCTAGTACTTAATGCGAATAAAAGTAATGTGAGGAAAACATTCAACTAGCCCCGAGACTAGCCCAAAATGCATGTGTATGATTCATTTATTCTATTAACAAATTTGATCATATAATACCCACACAATCCCACAGAATGCTACTGAAAACCCACGCAATCCTACTGGACACCCACAGAATTCTATTGGAGTCCAACGGAATTCCTCTCTTCTTTGTCAATTTTTAGAACTATTTTGAACACTAGCAAGCAAGGACTCTGGACAAGAAAGTCTTTTTATGCCGCCACTACACTACATTGGTACAAACTAAAAACATCAACTCATCAAGCAAACTAAGGAATTCCTGAGGGAATTCCATTGGAATTCCACAATCCCAATGGAATCCACGGAATCCTATTGAAATCCCACACAATGCTTCTGGAATCCCACGGTATCCTACGAATCTCACCGAACTCTACTGGAATCCAATGTATTTCTTGGGGAATTCCATGGAATTTCTTGTGAATTTTTTACAAATATTTTGAATGCTAGCAAGCAAAGACTCTGAACAAAAAGTATTGCTTTTCAGTTTAGCTGCCACTACATAGGTACAAACTAAAAACATCAACTCATCAAGCAAACTAAGGAATCCCATTGGAACTCCACAGTATCCTAAATAATCCCACATCCTTGTAGGGTAGGTATACCATAATTCCAAGGTGGTTTACCCCTAGATCAAGGATTAACTTTCTCACATTTCTCCTGAAACTTGCCACCACAGAAGGGCCCAAAGGGAAGCAGAAAATTATAAATTTTCACAGAATTGTAAGTGAAAGATAGCTGATTGTTTAATGAAATCAAATGAGAAGATCAATTTTCAACAAACCTTGTTAATAATATTTTCACAGGTGATAGAAGATTTACACAAAACACAGAAAATACCACACATCTTTATTATACTTAATGCAATATTTTAGATTTTTTTGGAGGGAATTAAAGGGAAATATGAAGGGATTAGGGACACAGGGATACAGGGAACACAGGGAATGAACTGTTAAGTGTGGTTAGGTTAGTTGGATAGGTGTTTTCATCTTGAAATTTTCTTGTTCTAATGCAAGAAGCGTTTTCTTTTAGCTAAAGATGAGCTCGATGAGCTCTCATTGGTCAATTTGTATTGACAGTTCTTTTGGCGGGAGCTTTCAAAAAATTAGGTTAGTTGTTTTGTTTATGTTTTTGTACCAACTACCAAAGCAAATCCTTTTCTGTTTCTGCGATTCAAATTTGAGTTTTGTCCACCTTGAAAATGTTTTTTCATTTTGTAGAAGAATATTAAAGGAACTGCAAATTGTTTCAAGTTAATGTCCCGTGCTAAAGTTTTCAAATTAATCATGCAATCACAAAGAAAAACTAGAAGTTCGAAAGTTATTCCGGTAGTCAACAGTGAGGAATCTAAGCCCACACTTGATTTATCACAATTTAAATCAAAACCAAAGAAAACTCTGCCTTCCTCTGTTATCAAGCAACAAATTAAAAAAGAAGAAGGGGATATTGATATTGAAAGTAAGCCGAGTACATCAAAAACAGCTAAAGCTGAGCAAGTTGTTACCAAGAAAGAGAAAATTATTGAAAATAAACCCAGCACATCAAAAACAACTAAAACAAAACGAGAACATATCAAAGTTGAATATGACGAGGAAGTAACAGGAACTTCGCCTAAGAAAATCTCAAAATCTATGCCCAACAATTGGGAGAAAGTTCTAGAAAACTTGAGGCAGATGCGTAAAAATTTTGATGCACCAGTAGACACCATGGGCTGTGATAAGTGTTCAGATGATGCAGCAAGTCCAGAAGTAATAAGGTACCAAGCCCTCCTGTCTTTAATGCTGAGTAGTCAAACTAAAGACCAAGTAACTCATGCAGCAATGCTGAGATTAAGAGAACATGGTTGTACTGTTGATAATATTCTTGCTACATCAGATGAAGATTTGGGAAAGCTGATCATTCCGGTAGGATTTTGGAAAAGTAAAGTGAAATATATCAAAAAAACTACAGAGATATTAAAGCAACAGTACAACGGTGATGTACCCCGTACTGTGGAAGATTTATGTAAACTTTCGGGGGTTGGCCCAAAAATGGCACATCTGTGCATGAAAACTGCCTGGGGACAAATTACAGGGATTGGTAATCAAATCAATAGACAATAATTTACAATATTAATACTAATTTAATTTCAGGTGTTGATACTCATGTTCACAGAATTTCCAATAGGCTTGGCTGGGTTAATTCAAAAACTCCCGAAGAAACCAGGAAGGCTTTGGAAGGTTGGCTTCCGTTCGATCTGTGGAGCGAAGTTAATCATTTATTAGTGGGTTTTGGACAGCAAGTTTGTTTGCCGATTAAACCGCAATGTTTGTCTTGTCTTAATCGGGATTTGTGTCCTTATGGCAAAAAAATAAAGAAGTAGTAATAAGTAAACTTGATTACAGATTTATTATTTTTCTTCTCTGTTTTAATGGAATATATTATTGTTCTGTTCTTATAATTATTATTATTTCTGGAATTATTCTCACCTAGAAAAAGGATAAAAGAATTTATTATAGAAGAAGGGACGAAAAATGTAATTTTTGCTAGTCTGGAATGATAGCTTGTGTTGTCCATGACAATATGATGGAACCTTTGGGAATTTACTATTGGGTGTCTCTCGTTAGCCCACATTTCGTCTAAGTATATTTATTATTATTTATTTATTGATGAACGGGATTACCCCATTTAATATAACAATCTTACAAAATATATTATTTCAACGAAAACCCAATGTGATCAGCTCTAATTATTATAACTTATCTTATAAAACAAATTAATTTCATGTTTCAATGGTGGCTGATTTATATTTTCTTTCAATTTTATAGAATGACCAGTATTATTGGCTGTCAAGTTCAAGTTCTGCTTTTTCTCATCTGTCCTTTGCGAATCTGAACCAGATCCAACCATCTCAAACTTCTATCTAGTATCTAAGCGACGCTTTATAAATGTTTTATCTATTTCTCGTCACCACATTGCCTGTAGGTAGTTGAACCTGATAAGAATGTGGTGCATTACCCTTCTTGACTATTTTTGCTTCAGTCATATCATGAACATTATCTTTAATATGTACTACCTTCCCTTTATTGAAAAAATTGGGTTTAGCATGATTTCTCATGTCATGATAATGCTTATTCAAAACCTGCTTGAGTTCTAAATGTTTTTGAATAACCTGTTTGTTATTTACAATTTCCTCGCCATTACACTTATATTTGGTGAAAAATTTTCTGGTACTGGAAGAAAGGCATTCACATTACGTCGGTACGTTCAAACATAATTTCACTGGGAGATTTATTTATGTCAGAATATATAGGGGTACTCCTATATTCTAGCAGAACGATATATGGATCTTGTCCACTATATGTTCCGCCTTTTTGAGCATTGTTTCAAAAATACCCACATGCCTTCCTGCCATACTATTAGAACGAGGATAGTATGGACTTGACATTATAGGCTTAAAATTCCAAGTTTTTGAAATTTGAAATTCGCAAACTGAGGTCCCTCATCAGAATAAACTAACAATGGGATAACGTATCTGGCAAAATTGGATTTAAGAACAGTTATAACAGCCTCTGCAGATTCATTTTTCAATTCCATGATCTCTAAAAATTTGCTGATATAATCAACAATCAAAACAAAAGTTTTTGTACGAAAATAAAATAAATTAACACCCAATACTTGCCAGGGTCCATCAGGAACTTCTCTCAGTTGCAATTCTTCATGAGTATGAGCAAAGACAATACTACTACGAGTAGTAGTAGTAGTATTGTCTTTGGTATGAGTTCTTTGAAATCTTAAGCATGTTTCACAATAATTCTTAACCAGATCTTCTATTTCTTTAAGCATATATGTGGCCAAAACAAAATATTTTTAGCACGAGCTTTACACTTTTCTAGTCGAAAATGATTTATATGAATTAATTCCAGCATTTCTGAACGTAAACTGTTTGGAACTACAACTAGATTATTTTTAAAAAGAAGATTATCAATAACATACAATTCATCTTTGATTGAATCTGGAATATTTTCATAAGGTGGCCATTCAGTTTGAACTGTAGAAAATTAACAATGAAAAATCAGGATCAAGAGATGTTTCCTTCTTGAAAATTTCACACTTGGTTTTTGTAATTGGTAAAGCATTAATTATCACACCAACATGATGTGCATTTACTTCTTTATCCAAATCATCATTTTCAAAAATATCAGTCTTAATAAAGTTCTTAGAAAGGGCATCAGCCAACAATAAATCTTTACCACGTTTATAACGAACTACAATATTATATGGCTGTAAGCGCAACCTAAGCCTCTGCAATCTCAATGGTGTGTCATTCAATATTCAATGACTTTTTAAAAATAGTATATTGAGTATTTAGGTGGAAAAGTGGGTAAATATCTGTTAAATGGTTGTCTTTTTGTTTCAATTATTCAGCAGTACGAGAATCACTTTCCCGGCCTAGGCCAGAAAAGTGATTCCTGTATTGTTATTCATTGATTCCCTAGCAACTATTGAAACATAATTAAAATACCAGAATCTTGAGTTTTGCGACCTGTCAACCGGTCAAAAATGCTGACATTTCTTGTCAATCGTAGAAAAATTTATTTTCCAAAGGCTTATGATCACTTTCAACCACCACTACTTTTTCATAAACATATTGGTGGAATTTCTCACATCCGTACACTATTGTCAATAATTCTTTTTCAATCTGAGCCCATGCCTTCTGAGTAGCAGTCAATGCTCGAGAGGCATAGGCTACAGGCAAATTATTCTGTAACAGCACAGCTCCCAAGCCTTGGCTGCTGCTATCAACTGACAAAACAACATCTGTATCGAAATCATAATATTTTAGTATGGGTGCACATGTGAGCATTTTTTAAAATTTTTCAAAATTAGATGTTTCTTTATCAGACCAAATAAACTCTACATCTTTCTTAAGCAGTATTGTCTCATCGAGCTGGTAACATCCGCCAAATTGGACAAAAACTTTGATACATAGGTAACCATTCCTAGCAAAATCTGTAGGTAGTTCTTTTTTGTTTTTTGGATTGTTTAATTGTAAAATAGCACTCACCTTGTCTTTATCAGGACGTAAACCATTTTTTGTAAACACATGACCTATATATAACGTACTTCACTTAACCCGAATTTACATTTGAGTCGAATGAAACGAACATTGGCACGTTTAGCTCTATCTAACACTGCTTCCAGTGTTTTGGCGTGTTCTTCTTTATTCGCTGCCCAGACTATAATATCATCTACCATCAAAAATATTCTTGAATGTACGATGAAAAACTTCCGGTGCAGAGCACAGTCCATAAGGCATTCTCCTATAACAATATCGCCCATAACACCCAGCATTAAATGTTGTATTTCACTTTCTTCATGCAACTTGATCTGATAAAAGCCCTTATTGCCGTCCAGTATTGAAAAAATATTTGCCCCTTTCATCTTGGATGCAATTTCCTCAAAAGTTGGAAGCTGATACCACTCACGTACTATGGCTTTATTCAGATTTTGTGGGTCCAAACAAATTCGAAGACTATTGTCTGGCTTTTTTACAATGACCATAGAACTGTGCCACTCAATTGGGTCAGTCACTTTTCTCAAAATGCCCATTTTATCTAGCTCACTTTTAACTGACTGCTGAAGGCTGATTGAAATTTTTCTTGGAGGTTTTACAACTGGCTCTACCTTTTTCTTCAACTGAATTTTATATGAATTTGTCAATTCACCAACGCCTTGAAAAATATGGTTGTATTTTTTTTACTAGACTATCAATCACATATTTGTCTTCCTGTTCTACCAATCCTACTCTCTTTAGCAGATTAAACATCTCAATAAATGGAAGACCAATTATGCATGGAGCATTAAAGTTGACTACAATGAACACTACATTGTGTTTTTTATAATTAGTTTCACAGATAAGTGTAGTTTGTCCATAAACACCCATTAACGTGCCTTCATAGTTCAATAGCTTTGTATTGGATGACTGAACTTCAGAATTAAGTTCTTTAGCAGTTCTCAAGTTCAAAACATCAACATCAGCACCAGTGTCCATTTTGAAACAAATTTCCTTATTATTGACAATTACTTTTTACATCCAGCCAACTAAACCTACTTGCCCTGCTTTCTGAACTATGCCTATAAACATTTCTTGCTCTTCATCATCCAGCTTCTACTGAATATACATTTTGAGCCATGTTTATTTTTTCACGACAGTACTTTTGAAAATGACCAAACTTGTTACATGCTTTACATTGTCTTCTATATGCATCTTGAACCATGAAAATATTCACAATTGCCACACTGTTTTTTATAAACTATTTTCCGAGTTTGTTCTAAAGCTATTTCCACTTTTCGGGCTTTATATTGACCTTTTTGTGAAGTAAACTCTCTGTATTGTCCGGAGAATATTAACATTTGTCTCAATTTCTTGCTTTTTTGATTGAAGTTCAGCTTACTCCTACATACAATCCTATCTCTAACCAAACTATCTCGCAGTCTTTCCTATCATCATCAGGTATCTCTAGTGTGTCATAGATTTCTAGTACTTCGGCTCCAATTGTATGTAGCAAAATAACAGCTTTCCTTTCAGCTGTTACCTTTGTCTTGTTATCTTTTATCTTTCAAACCAGAGGCATCTATATAAATGGTGAATCGCTGTTTCCATTTTTTAAAATTTGTGAGGATATCACCCTCAAGAGACATTTCTTTGGGTTGTTGTAAAGTTTCCATCTTATTTTAATTAGGAAACGTGGGGCTAAGAACGAATTTGACTTAACTTTCTTTACGACGAAATACTCACGTATTTTATAAAAAATTCTTCACAACTTATCCTGTCCGCAGCGTCATGTAAGGTTCGGACATTTGGAATAAACGAAATATAGTTTCAAAGATTTATTTCAAGCTGAACTGAACTCATTCCGTCACTAGATCTGTCATACCACATATTACTAGTAACTACCTGACACACTATATGCATACACTACTATTCATACTGAATTTTCATGAGATAATAACCAAACCTATAGTTACCTGGGTTTCATGGCCACTACGGTTCATCCTGTGCTCCTAACGAAAAGAAAACATAGTTTTCTTCCGAATTCATAAAAATAAAGAAAACCATAAGGTATTTATAAAGCTGATTAAGGGCTGAGAAAAAATAAAACACAAAACTCAATAAGTAATTCACACTTTAATAAACAAAAACAAACTTGTATCACACTATAGAGTATTTTTTTTCTTTAAATATTAAACATTCTAAACATTTTTTTTTTTTTGCATAGATAAATGGAAAGAACAGCGACGAATGTGCAGAAAGTCTAACATTGTTCCATTTCTATAATAATTATTATAATAATATGCACACGTTTTTTTTTTTTTATTCTAAACATTTATTTATTTATTTATAACACTGTAAATGTTATTAATAATGTAACGGTGATAAGCATTTTGAACCATGTATATTATGTATGTTGAAAATGCTCATCGTATAACAGCTTCATTT